ATTTTTCCCCCCCTTTTTTTTCCTTTTTTTTTTTTTTTTTTTTTTTCTCATTCATATCTGGTAATTTTGCATCCTCTAATGGAAAAAAAGGGTATGTTTTTTCAAGTGTTCAATTCTCACATGTGCATATAAGTACTCTTTGTTGAGTCTTCCCATAACAAACCTCCATATCATCGTGCAAAGTCACGAGCATCCTCAAAAACTTCTTGCAATATAAGGAAACAAATCCATAAGTTGATAAAAGATTGAAAGTAAGATACACGAAATGCAATTGTAGTGGAGATGAGTTTGATTTTTACCCGAGAGGGAATTCATCAAAAAGATGAGCTAGCAAATCATATCCAATTCTCACAGCCTAATATGTTAAAGAGAATTACATTTCAAATAATTGTCAAACAGATTAAGATATAAAATTACTCGGTAAATGCTATCATTTAAAAACAGGATATATATGTCTTCAAAAATTTGGTGATTGACAAAAATAACACAACCAAATTTCACTTTCGATTGAGAGCTGACATATACTAAATATTAAATCTGCATAGTAGCATTAATATTTAGGTTTGTAAATGTATCTGAACATTGAGAAAAATGTAAACCCGATTAGTAACATTTGCTGGTACAACTAGAAAGCAAGATAGATTAGAACTTATAGAATGATTATTTAGTAACCAATTAGGCCTAGCTTGGTTGGCCACCATGTTTTCTTTAGGACCTAGTCCCTAGGGTGATCATGGGTTCAATTCTCCTTAAAGGAGTTAAATTAAAAGAGTGCAAGTATTTAGGTGCTTTGCCAAGAGTGAGAAGGTTTTCTCTCATAGGTGCTAATCTAACAACTAACATTTATCGATCAAAAAAATATATTTATTTAGTAGTGTGATGATCAAATACAGGGTGGTGAAAACAAAATCAGTTCCAATACAAGGGTGATGAAAAAAAAATCAGTTCCTACTGAAGGAAAGAGAGAAGAAGAGGCATTTTACTACAAAACAAATCAACCTTGAAAGAGCAAGCGTCACAACATGAATCCACTAATGGAAATATATATATATATATATATCAAAGGTAATTTGTGAGAGAAACTAAAGACACAGGGCATAATTGAGACTAATGTATTTTCCTTTGCACAAAACCTAAATATATAGTAACCTATTTTTAGCATTGTATGCACTTACACAACTCTTTTCTAAGTTACAATTATTATTATTATTATACAATCGATAGAAGGGGGTAGAGAAAAGGGAAGTGACATTGCATAATAGTAAAACTTGAATGCAAGTAGCATGCCCTTAACCACCTGAAAACCCTTTGTCTTTTTTGACTTACAATTTACAAGTTCAAAAAAAGAGGATATATATATATATATATATATTAATCTACTATTCAGTTGTTGAAAGGGACAAGAACGTTGTATATGATGTCATTGGTTTTTTGAAAAAATTATACTAGTAGTCCCTTTAATTTTTGCATTGTATTAATTTGATTCCTATAATTCCAATTACATCAGCCTTATTTGGTTTAACTCTCAAAACACAATTTTTGAAAAAAAAATTTCTAAAATTTTATTTGGTTGGAAATTTTTTGAAATTTTTTTCCAAAATCACTCTCTTCTACACATCAATCAATCACTTTTATTCTCTCCTCTCTCATTCTCAATCACTTTTTCTCTCACACACATTTACTCAACTATAACAAAATATCAAATCATTCCATACTCCAAAACTATTTCCAAAATATATAACCAAACAAACCAAAAAATTTCTAAACTTTCCCCAAAATTTATTAAAAAAATTTATCTCCCAAAACCAAACCAAACCAAATACACCCATCAATTTTGTGCTTTAATTTTTCAATTCGTGTCATTTTGATCTAAATTGATGCAAATACTCCAAAATGACAAAAAAACAAAAAAAAAAATATGGGTTAGGTAAGAATAAGGAGCTTTAATATATTTTTGTGTTATTTTGGGAATGCATAGTATTTGAGCGGAGTGCAAACAGCTGCACCCAATTTTTATTGGGAAAGTAATTGAAAAGATAACACTTTCATATATTTGAACATCCCAAATCTAGTACAAAAGCATGACAGACCAAGGTTCACAAGTATGAAAATAAAAGTTAGGGACCAAAACGGAAGTGAAGGTTACCTGAAGCACAAAAGAGGCAGCAATTTAAACAACCAAACAACTTTTTACATTTTCTCACATTTCTTCCCTCCTTTCTTCTTCTTTTTTTTTTTTTTTTTTTTCATTCATATCTGGTAATTTTGCATCCTCTAATGGAAAAACAAGGGTATGTTTTTTCAAGTGTTCAATTCTCACATGTGCATATAAGTACTCTTTGTTGAGTCTTCCCATAACAACCTCCATATCATCGTGCAAAGTCACGAGCATCCTCAAAAACATCCTGCAATATAAGGAAACAAATCCATAAGTTGATAAAAGATTGAAAGTAAGATACACGAAATGCAATTGTAGTGGAGATGAGTTTGATTTTTACCCGAGGGGGAATTCATCAAAAAGATGAGCTAGCAAATCATATCCAATTCTCACAGCCTAATATGTTAAAGAGAATTACATTTCAAATAATTGTCAAACAGATTAAGATATAAAATTACTCGGTAAATGCTATCATTTAAAAACAGGATATATATGTCTTCAAAAATTTGGTGATTGACAAAAATAACACAACCAAATTTCACTTTCGATTGAGAGCTGACATATACTAAATATTAAATCTGCATAGTAGCATTAATGTTTAGGTTTGTACATGTATCTGAACATTGAGAAAAATGTAAACCCGATTAGTAACATTTGCTGGTACAGAGGGTATTCTGTCTGCAACACGAGGCTATGCATTCCATTGAAGAAAAGAAATTGGGCGTTCTGCTCAAGCAAATAAATTATCTGCATATACAAGGGTTCAAATTTCAATGAAGCATATTATATTCAACTAGAAGAAACAAATAAAGAAAGACACAAGTAAAGGACCAAACTTTGTGATTTCAATAACTATTCTCTAAAGTCTTAGCTACTTTATCAGGTAAAAGATAAAATGATTTCTTCAGGTGTTCAATTCCCTTCTTGCAAATTACACACATAAAATGATTTCTTCAAGTGTACATTGCGAATGCATAGTGAGATGAGTTTGATTTTTACCCCAGAACTCATCATAAAGATGAGCTGGTATCATCCCAACCTTTCATATCCGATTCCCACAACTTAATCTGTTAAAGAAAGTTGCATTTCAAGTCATTGTCAAACAGATTAAGATAAAATTCACTTGGAAAATGGTATCATTTAGGATAAATGTATTCGAGAACTTGATGATTCACAAAAACAGTATAACCAAATTCACTTTTGATTGAGAGTTGACATGTATTGAATCCAAATAGTAGTAGAAATATTTGGGTTTTTAAATGTATCTTTTAACATTGAGAAAAATATAAACCTGATCAGTAACATTTTAGCATTTTCTCTTACGGAGGGTATTCTCTCTGCAACATGAGAATCTGCCTTTTCTGCCAAAGAAAAGAAATTATCTGCAAATACAATGGTTGAAATTTCAAAGAAGCAAGTTATATTCTTATAGATGAAACAAACAAGAAAATCTGAAAGTATATTTGGTGGAACATACAATATATACAAGCAACAATATTCACATATTACATTTAAGTGGTAAAGATAGTCCTACATAACCATCCAAATCATCCATATTCCGACAGGTCAATATTTCGCTCTTAATTATAACTCGATAAACACTGTTTATTATCAACACCTCCTGCCTCCCCTCCATTTCCCCAAACACACACACAAAAACATACATAACAAAAAAAATAAATAACAAAAAACCACCCACAAAAGAAAAACAAAAGAGAATTATTTATCAAAAGAAGAAAACAAAACAAAAGTTGTCAATAGAATATTTGGATGAACATGACGGGATGGCTTTTTAAAAATAGTAGCATTGGTCCCTTTTAATTGAGGGTCCTAGGAGAAGACTGGAGAATCAGATAGACCTAACCTTCAGCATTATTTTTATAAAGTGGCTACTCTCAATTTTGAACCTTCGTTCTCACACTCAGCACCCTGAACATTCACCTCTGCACCAAGCAATGCCCCAACGTTGGCTTTCAAAGCACCCAAGGCTGCAGGCCAGAGATTCCTATGCATTCACAATGTACACTCGTTTCCTATGACAGAACATCCAGAAGTCAAGAGAATTTGCTTAATAACAAATAAAATGAAATTAGTAACCAAGCAAAAGCTTTTTTAAATAAAAACACCAGTAAAGGATCAAACTTTATTATTCCTTTTACTATTAGTTTAAATTAAGCTACTCTATCAGGTAAAAGATGAAATGGTTTTTTCGAGGGTCCTGCTAATGATAGCCCTCAGGGTTGTCAATAAGAAGCACATAAGGCCAAAATATTTATGATCTCAATACACTTTTCACATATCTCAAAACATTTTTACATATTTTTATATACTTCTTACACATTTTATACATTTTTTAACACTAACAACAGCCCAAGGTTTTTTTTTGCATTTTTCTTTCTTTAAAGGTTCCAAGAGATAGCATGGAGTTGCAGACAAATAGGCATTGATGCTTGCCTATTTGGCCATAATGGCATTTTTTAAAGCATCATACAAGCTTCCTTTGTAGTTACAGCTACAAAAAGATTTGGAAGCTGATATTCTACCTTGTATTTTTAGCATGAAAATTGATCACTTCATCAATGAATGGCAAATATAAGAATAAAATTTTAATGAATATGAACAATGAGCAATCCAAGCTGGTAAATGGCAAATGATAATGACTTCATTTTTTTTTTTGATAAATAAGACAATTTTATTAAAACAACATCAAGACGATGTCAAAGAATACAAGAACCAAAACAACCAACCAAACAGCTAGCCATGAAGAGTGCCTACAAAATCTAGAAAAGAGTTCAGATCCAAAGCAACTCGCCCCGAGACCCAACTATACAAAATTCCCAAAAATCAGCTCTTCAAATAATATAATGACTTCAAATTTTTATTTTTATTTTTTAAAAAATATCCAATAATCTAGTAAAATAAATATATTTAAAGGAAAAGTCTCTCATCCCAAACATTTTTTTTTTTCCATTTCATGTTTTGGGGTTTGCCAAAAGAGTTTTGAATTTTATCAAAGATTAGAGAACCACCTTTTGCTGTTAAATGAATTTCCCCTTTTGATTTCTTCTTGTTCTTTGTATACTGCCCACTTCATGACGAGTTTAAACAGATCAACATGTAAATTTGAAGAAATAAAAAAAAACCTACGAGACTATATGGTATAACAATTTCAAAATAGTTTCATCTCTTTTTTCAATATATGCATTGGATTTGAAATCTAAATAATACTCCAAGTAGGGTAGGTGGCTTCTTAAACCTAAATCCCTCCAACTACAACAGAATGCCCACATGGATTTTTGACCAGACTAGGTGGCTTCCTCACCGTCAAATGTAGTCTAGCATACAAGGACAAAGGTTCAAAACACACCATGATACAAAGTTGTCCTTGCAAGGCATGTAAGTTTAAATGATCAAAAGTCTTGCTTAAGAAGAGTTTGCAGTGGGGAGGTTTTTCCAATTGTGGTTTGCGGAAATGACTTCTCAATTTTCTTGATATATATATATATATATATCTTATTCATTGATCACTTATGAGAGTTTTCATCATGATTAGATAAAAGCAAATCAATAAAACAGACAGTGAAATACATCCTAAAGTTTGTTTCCACAACAACAAATGCTGGAGAACAATAAGGTAATAACAACAATAGTTAGTAGATTACATATCCTTTCTAATATTTTTTTACCTGCATAACACAGATAAAATATAGAAAAGTACATTTTTACAAAGCTGGAAAAAAAATCACATAGTATTCAAAGTCACAATTGAGTCCGGAAGTTGTCCTCTCCAGGGCAAAAAATAAAAAGTGAAAAAAAAAAATCAGCATTTGAACAGAGAACTAATACAAATTATTGAACCAATTAATTTGTAGTCATTAGACACATTATGCAGCCAATCCACTATATGTCAACATTTCAAATGTTGATGTAACAAATTGTTATTCCAAAATATATTCCATGTTATCATAACTATGCTGTCTCTGGCAGACTGGCATTGTTTTATGTTGATGAAGCTGCAAAAAAACTTATGCCTTAGTGATAATGATGAGATGGAGATCACACAGCATATACTGACCCATAAAATAAAACTGCAAAAATTAGAAACGACTGAAATGTGCGCTTTTATGATTGGTTGAAAAGCGCACATTTCAATCATTTACAACAAACTAGAACTTTCTTGTGATAAGGCCCAAAAGAATTAGAAAGTAAACCCTCGGTTCTGATAAAAATCTTAGACGATATTAGTATTGAGAAATAAACAAATAAAAATGGAACTTGATTGGATAAGAGAGGTGCTTACATTAATGACCTTCCCCTCTTTTACCTACTAAACTCCCTAACCAAGTCCTTTGATTGTAATGGATTAGATCCTAAATTAAATGGAGTTAAATGGTTTCCTACCTTCCCATAAAAAATAGGTGGCAGCTCTTTTATACGAATCGATCTATTTTGGCAACTTGTGGGCCAACGATACTATGGGATAAACGATTTGTTGTCATTATAGATCTTGATGGTTCATACTCAATTTTGAGATAGTCTAATCCGACATGTGGGTGCGTCGAAATATGTGGTATCCACAGGAGGTCAGTGTAATTATATAACAAATATAAGATTATTAATTGTATTTTCTTCAAACCTCAAGGAGATGAGTAAATTTACCCTTATAAACGTATATTGAAAAAAAAAATGCTTAAAATATAAATTATATAGATCAAAATCATGTGTACCTAAAATATACTCTTGGCCTTTGTCTTTGCCTTGTTTACATTTGCCTTGCGTCTATTGGTAAATAAGGTAAAAGTAAAAGGCACTAGTAGACACAAGATGACATGTGCTCAAAATGGCATGAAATTTGTTCAAGACATTAAAAATTTCATGACGATCAAGACCCATCAGTCTTGAATGGCCTACAATGGATTTTGGGCGAATTCCAAAATTTAGGCCTTTAGTTTCGCTATTTTCATTTTTAAAAGTAATTGATTCATCTATAACTTGGTCTATACGAATATGATTTTGCCTCGATTTTTTCTAGTATATTTCCTTTTTTGGTAATTTTTTTATTTTATTTGATTTTGGCTTGGTTAGAAAGTAATTAACCTAGGATTTAGTTTACCTTTTTTTCTTTAGGTATTCTCTAGCATAAATTGACATGTATGCCTCAGGGCAAATGAGTTTTATTTTGAAGAATTAGCATTATTACAAGAGAGACTATCTTTTTTGTGTCTAATCCGTGGTTGTTCAAGGGTTCGAGTGTTCATTCCATTACCTTCCTTGCATCACCATTCTTTTCTTTATCTCTTTTTCACTCATTTATCCTACTCATGTCAACACGCATAACTGCCTACACCATAACTGCCTTTGTAATACCCCCAACTTTTCAAAATATAATTATTTTGGCATTTAAATTTGGTTATTGAAATTTTTTATTAATGAAATATAAATTGGACATAATTTTGTGAATTTGCAAAACATGCTAGGAAATTTCATAGTTTTTGTAAGTTTCAAATAATGATGGCAATTTTGTTATTTTTCAAATTTAATAATAATAAATGAATATTTATATTTTAAATTACAATTTGAGACTATTTATTATAGCTTTTGCTCTTGAATTGTTTTGTTGGTCAATTTTACAATTACTATGACAACAGTTATACTTCTACAAAGAAAATTTGGTCCACCGCAGATGGAGGATATATTTTTATCAACAAAAGAAACATGCTTTTATAAAGGGTGGCAAGTAAGTAAGGAGCAAAAGCCATGGCTTGGCCATCTTGAAGGCATAAGGCCAATGAAAGGTATTCCTTGGTAATTTTGAAGTCAGGAACACAAAAAATGAATTAGCAAGGCCAAACTAAGTGAAAGGCAGCTCTTTTTTGGTCATCGATAGGGGTGTTTCTTTTGCCTTTGTATTTTTTAATAAACTCAGTGTAACTCATGTCAGTGTTAAGGGTGAAAGTGACTGGTAAGGGTTCTAGTAAAGCACTGATTTCTAATCCTAGAATGGGGAGTCCAATTAAATAGGCTACGTCTAGGATGGTTGGAGATATCACACCAAACTGTAGGAGCATTGAGTTGCAAGATTGTGACCAGAAACAGGCAGCAACAACAATTAACCACTTATTCCTATCAAATTTGAGGGTCGACAAATGAATTACCTCACTAATGCCTCGATGTTTCCGTACATCTGAGTCATAAGCTTCAATTCGTTTGGCCCAGCTTTGCCAGGAAGAATCTAGTTGTCTCCATGATCTAAGAGGGTTTTTGTTGTCGTCCCAATTTACCCAATTGAATTTTGGTTGGTTG